TCGTACCCCTCACTATGTTTTAATATAGTTTCGGCTGTTTATTAATTGCCTTTTTTGAGTTTTGTCCCTCATCTTTATACCTAGTCTAAGTTGTTCTTTTCTTCTCATTCCCAATAAATGCTGATATCTTGATTGTCTTCTCCAAGTTAATAATGCAATAACTCTAGCTTTAATGACAAAAAAACCGAATTTCACATATCCAGAACTTAACATATCAACTCAAACTATCAAACATACTCTTAAAAATAAACATAATTATATTATTGTCAATCACAAGCAGTTTCTTTTCTTAAGCTAAATCATATTGAAGCTCTCATACTTTAATATTATCAATTATACATATAAGTTTAAAAGTTGATTTGAGTTTTTTTAAATACTAATTTGCACAAAAATCAAATATTGATTTAACAACTTAATTAAGCTTTTTTAGGATTAATTTGAAATAGAAATGAATAGATAATGTGTAGTTTTCATTTATGAGATAATAATACATTTTAAGATAATCACATATGATATACTGTATTTTTAAACTAATGTATTTAAGCATTTTATTAGAAACTTTTAAAGGATCAGGTATTTTTTTCATGAGGTAGTAAAGCAATAATGTTTGTTATATTATTCATATGCTTTAGATGGTAGAACTATTAGATTAATAATATGCATTAAAAGATTGGAAGCTATTGAAATCTTCTAATTCTTCCAATTTTAAACCTTCTAACACCAATAGATTTTTATTAGAAGATTGAAAGCATTTAATTCCAATAGAATTAAATCAAATAATTTATTGCAAGGCAATACGTCCGTTTTGATTTTATACATATATAAAGCTGTTTAATATCGTGATGAAATATTTCTAGAGCTAGTCTGATAAACCAACGAACCTTATTATACTTTGTAAGATATGTTCGTACATTTAATTAACGATATTTGATTGTTAAATATATTAAAATTTTTTGATCACTTTCGTTCGATTTTTATTATACTTGATGTAATTTGCAATGGGTTTAAGGATCAATTTTGTTAATATGACCACATCACGATAATCTGATCAACGGGCACCTTTAATAAATTTGACACTAATCCATATAAAAGATTGTCGGGGAGTTTAATTAAGCGGGAAAGTTCAAAAACATAATATAAGTTATACAATGACGAATACTGTAGATTATGCTGTTCCGTTATGCTAATATACGTATTACTTTTTTTTGAGCGATAAACCCTTTATCCTAACCTCCTTCTTTCAAACTTTTTTTTCCGAACAGTAGAGGTAGTCAAAATCGATATTATCCCGTTTTCGTTTTCTTATGTTAGTCTCATAAGATCTTTCGATTAGCTGAGCAAAGCTTTACGCTGTACCCCAAATTTTTTTTTCAATTATTATGTTTAAATATTCATTAGAAAGAGAATAAAATATTGCATCATATAATTAATATATTGACGATTTTTTGCTTTTAAATTTGTCTAAAGATATTTATTTAGATTTTTATTAACAAATGACATTATATCTTATAATGATCACAGATAAAAATTAAAAGGTTCCCCACACTTTGATTGGCTGGTATAATTGATATTAGTTAGGGTTAGGTTATGGTTAGAGCTTAGGTGATTATCATCGGTGCACTGGTAGTGTTAGTGTTTCAATTATTAAGTAACTGAGGACTCATATATAGTTAGCCATTCAGAGAGTGTGGTGAAATTAGTTAAACCCCCAATTTTAATTATAACCGATTTTGTAAATTGTGATTCTATAATAAATGATAATAAATGGTTTCATTTCATATTAAAAATACTAGGGAATCGGATAAATGAAAGCATGATTCCAACGATGAGGTACTGATGAAAGGGCTAAACATCCACATATGATATACCAGAGCAGCTTTTTGGTAATTGGGCCAAGGTGTTTAAGCATCTCATTAGATACTTTGGATGGACCTGGAGCTTTGCCATTATTAAGAAAACGGTTAAATCATAATTCATATGATGATTATAATTTATTACTTCGAATTAACAACAATGCACAATAATATGTTGAAAAAAAAAAAAATTGAAAAATTTCAAGATCGAATTAAAATATTCTCTTTATTGAAAATTGTGCTACAACTTTACAATTAGAAAAATAAATTTCGCATGTTTATAAATTTACGTAGTAAATAAAAAATGAATGGATGAGAATAAAACTCTTTACTATGGGATTGATTACATTTTAAATTTGTGACTCCTTTGCAAGGTCTCACTTATCGCCACGATTATATTTGCGCTGTTCGGACGACTCCCTGTAATAGCGTGTCGCAAGGTCTCGCTTGTCACCACGATTATATTTGCGTTGTTCGGACGACTCCCTGTAATAGCGTGTCGCAAGGTCTCGCTTGTCACCACGATTATATTTGCGCTGTTCTGACGACTCCCTGTAATAGCGTGTCGCAAGGTCTCGCTTGTCGCCACGATTATATTTGCGCTGTTCTGACGACTCCCTGTAATAGCGTGTCGCAAGGTCTCGCTTGTCACCACGATTATATTTGCGTTGTTCGGATGACTCCCTGTAATAGCGTGTCGCAAGGTCTCGCTTGTCACCACGATTATATTTGCGTTGTTCGGATGATTCCCTGTAATAGCGTGTAGCAAGATCTCGCTTATCGCCACGATTATATTTGCGTTGTTCAGACGACTCTCTATAATAGCGTGGTTCGAGTTCAGTTTTTCCAGAAATGCCATCAGAAAAGCGAGGACGAACAATTGATTCGTGAGCAGAAATTGAAGTAGTGGCATTAGTTGAGAATGGACCAACTACTCCAGATGTCAAGAGAATACTCAACATGAAAAGGTTTTTAAGATGCATTCTCTTAATTTGGTCTTTTTTGTTGATGAGGGTAAATACAAATTTTCGTCAAAAAAAGGAAGGTGTTTATTGAAAAAAATATGATGATTTATGTAATTAAGGGAGGGGGAACCTTAATTATAAGAAAAAAAGAAAGATTATGTCTTAAAATTTTTCCTTTGAATGGTAGAATACGAAGAACAATTTATGGCAATATCTTGGCCTTTTATAAAAGAAATTTATGATCGTATAATAGAATCAAAGTCTTGATTGTAGATGTAACATTGCAATTTTAAAATTTGATAACAATAAATTTAATATTAACAATACGAATGACGGCATTTCCATTGCATTAAAAAAAAACTTACAGATTATTCCCTATAAAACTTTATTTCCGTTTAATTAATTGTTTACATATTTTTATTTCTAGACCTTGTTAACCACTTACTTTCCGAGATTTTCTTTTACAATAGAATAGGTATTGAAATCCAATTTTGGAAATTATTTTTTTTCCTCCTAAATCAATAATTTCATGTAGAACGAACCAACCAGATTTATGCGATTTGAATATACGGTGAGAATTGTTTTGAATTTATTTCATTGTAAAATCAAACCTTTGTTTCCCAATCTTTTAGGTAGGGAAGGTGGCGCAGAATCAATTGTTTTTTACACACTCACTCCATCATATATTAATTAATCGATCAAGCAATTAAACCGTGCGACAAACATACATTATTATACAAATCACATGCACATATTGTCTGTCGATTATTGATATCATGCGAATAATTATGATATCAAATATAGATAAGTCAACAAAAGGTTTAATTTAAAACATCCTGTACCCAAATAAATTTTATTGGACCACATCGCGCAGAGATTGAAATACATCATTATAAAAATGAAATTGACTCTCCTAATATGTTACTATTCTATTTTTGAAAAGCTGTTAATGGACTAGTACAAATTAGTAGACTAAGACTCAATTTTACGATTAGAATAACAAGACTATTATTATAAGTTGTACCAAAAGATAATTTGGGGTTTTTGATCGGCATTTACATATTATTGTTCATCATTTATGGAAGTACATAGATAACGTGCAAATAATCCAAACAGATTTCAAAATATGATATTCAAACAAATTTTTTATTGATTGTTAAAAACAGAAAAAAATTTTTGAAATTGAACAAAAAAAGGAGAGAAAAAATAAATTTGAAATTTTTTTATACAGAAGAAAAAATTTATACGACAATCTTTTAAATTGATGGAGAAATGAAATTCAATTTATCTCTGTGCAGCTTTCTTTTCACCAATTTCTGCTTCGCGTTTTGGATCCAAGGATTCTCCTGTACGTTGTTCATGTAATTCTGCCAATTTCTCGGCCGCATGTTCACTAAAAGAAAATTTAGATACAAATTTTAATGAGGAAAAGGTGTCGGCCAATAACAAATATGAAATTTATTATTTACCGTCCTTCAGCGGTATTGCTCGGGTTATGGGCTGCAGCTTTGTAGGAACGTTCAGAACGCTCCTCTTCTGAGTTAGCTCTGACGGGTTGAGCTTGAGATTCTGGAATATCGCCCATTGTTGTTAAAAGTTAGATAGTTAAGGGGTTTGTTTTTTGTTTGTTTTATTGAACGTGTTATTAATATAAGAAATTTGTATTTAATCCTTTTTGATGAATTTTCTTGTTGATAAGAAAAGGAAGGGAAATGTCCATCTTTTTATATAAAAATTTTTTTTATCCAACACATTGTTTGAGTTAAAGAAATTGGCTGAAAAGAATGGCTAAAAAAAAATATCTAATAATTTTAAAGAAGTACTCGACTATTTTGATAATTACGAAATTATGATTAAAACAAGGAATGTCATGATTACAATTGAAAATGATCAAGATTTCGTCAATGTTTAGATGATGTAAATTACATGCAACAAACTTTTTTATGTCAGTAATGATATGTCATTTACGATCCATCATACTTATTTTTCATAAGGAAGATGAGACAAATTCGAAATCGTATACGCCCGCAGAAAAATAAAGATCGTTTCCACGTGGTTGGTTAACTTTTTCGTGAATTTCGGTGAAATAAATTTTTGAATGTTCTATAATTTTATTGGATGATTTAATTACGGGTTCTGATCTCGATATTATGTCATTGATGATCAGTAGCTGTCAAATTCTCACAAAAATGTTTTAAAAATTGGTTCAAATTATTTCGTAATGTTTGTTGAATTTTACTTCATATTTGTGAGAAAGGTTATGTAATAAATGCTAAAGGAAAAGATTTTTGTGACAAAACCAAGTTAACGTTCTTTTTGTTCCTTGTTTTATTTAAAGAAGATCAACTAGTTCTTTTATATATTGAATGACACCATTTCCAGATTTACTTAATATCACATCATCAATTGATTTCTACAACTACAATTTTTCGTAGAGAACTGCGGTGGCGACTGCGGATAATTTCAAGATCGGTGATTTGCTCATTGCTGATCATTACTAGATTGGTATCACAATTTTTTTTTTAAATTTGCAATCATATATTTTTTTTTGTTCGCTCTCTTTAATTTATTGTCGAGAAGAAAAATTTTTCATAATGGTGAGTCCTTTTTTTTTTTTTTTTTTTTTGAAAAGCACATTTGTTTAAAAAAATTTAGTCATAAGAGATTTTTGGGGGGATGGATGATATGAAAGGATTGGATGGGAATTTTATTTTTAAGATGGATGAACAAATTAAAGGATTTATGAATCGATCGATATACAGAATTTTTAATTAACTAAGAGATCAAGATATTTTAAATAGAATTATTCGACAATTTTATTTTGAATCCTTCACGTTAATTATATATATCAATGAATAATATTAATATTAATAAAATTATTATTATAATTATTATTATTATTTTTAGTCTCTCGTCGTACCTGATAAGAACCAGTTCCAACATATTCTTCGTTTGTTGAACACCAATGTTGAGTAAGTGTCGAATTTAATTCTTTTGGAGAAAAAAATAAAAATAAAAAAAAATAAAAAATTCTAACTTTTAAGCTTTTTTTTCTTTCATTTCATTTAATTCATTTTATTTTTTTTATTTTTTTTTAGGGGTAAAACCAAAGTAATGTTTGCCTTGACTGCCATCAAAGGTGTTGGTCGTAGATACTCTAATATTGTATGCAAAAAAGCAGACGTAGATTTGCGCAAACGGTATCTTATTTTTCATTTTTTTTCATTTGCATTCCTTGAAATATATATATATATATATAAAATATAGTTCTAATTAAGGAAATCTTCTTTTAAAAGTGCCGGTGAATTAACTAACGAAGAATTAGAAAGGATCGTAACGATCATTCAAAATCCAACACAATTTAAGATCCCAAACTGGTTTTTAAATAGACAAAAAGATATAGTTGATGGAAAATATTCTCAAATTCTTGCCAATTCATTAGAATCGAAATTACGTGAAGATTTAGAAAGATTGAAAAAGATTAGAGCTCATCGTGGTTTAAGACATTATTGGGGTCTTAGGGTTCGAGGTCAACATACTAAAACTACTGGTAGACGTGGTAGAACTGTTGGTGTATCCAAAAAGAAAGGTTAGTTATGATTAACTTACTAAGAAGAATAATCTAATTTTGGATGGGATGACTATAAAATTTTCTTACCTTATCTACATTGACTGAACAATGAGATTGTTGAATCATAATTTGCTGATCCAAAATTATATGTCAAATTGTTTATATTTAATCTATCATGTACTAATTTAATGATTCATCCACTTTTATAATAGGTTAATATTTCTCACACCAAATGAGATGTCATTTAACGCATTTAATGCATTTATCATCATCATCAGTTCCTATGTTGGTAAAAGTAAAAGAAAAATTGGCTTCCCTTTTAATTGAAATTGACTTAAAGAATATATTAAATTTATTTTTGCTTTTTATTGAAATTAATGTTTTTGACATTTTATTATTACAATAAATTTTAAAATTTTAAATGTTTATTGTCAAAAAAAAGAACAAAAAGAAATAAATAAAAAAAGAAATTATCCGAATAAAAATTAATAAATAATGTCTTAATAGAGATTACAACTTTGGCTTTCAGTTTCTTGATTACGTAAAGAATCTTTTAACTACTTTATTCTTTTAAAGCCTATTTATATCTAGTATATATCCACATTTTACACTTAAGTCACCTCCAACATAATAAAATAAAAATGGAGGAAATCGAAGAATTATATACAAATATAAACATAACACAATAAAACGAATAATGTTTTCCATCTTTGTCCTTTCTATAATTAACAAACATTTATATTACAAATTCTTTTGACTTGACAATACTTTACAAATAGAAATTATTCCGAACGAGGAATAGCCGCTCTTTTTACCGGCTTTTTATATTGTCGCATATTGGTTGGATGCGAATTTGGATGATGATCACGAGTGATATGTCTATTAATATCATTTGTTGAAGTAAAGACTTGTTCACATCCCTTTTGACGACATTTATATTTAGGAGACGTAGAAGTAATAGATAATAGTGTGTTTATAGGTATATTTTGTCCATTTTGGTTTTGAGGATCATTAAATTGAGATGAGTTAATGTCAAGCATATTTGTAACATCAATAGGATTGTCATTAAACATTGGTAACGCTTGATTCTGTTCATTCGGATTCGTCTCGTGTGAATTTGAGGATCTAAAGGCATCGTTGCCCATCCATTGCTGCTGTCCACTAATAACATTATTATCGACCTCCATATTTGATGTTGTTTGAGGATTTGAATCATTAAACCGTTGATTTATTTGCAACCCTTGATTATTCTGTGAATTTGCCTTGTGTGGTCCACGATATTTATCGGGGTCCTTTCCATGAATACTTCTTTCATGATACTGCAACCCATTAGCTGTGAGGTAACGATTTTTACAACCAACAACAGGACATTTGTACGGTTTGTCTGCAACTTCATTAGTTCCCTCTTCCGTATCATATTTATGACCTGATGATCCTTTGGCAGTATCAAGATGATATGAAAGTCCATTGATATTCTTGTATTTTTTAGCACACCCTACCCACGCGCATCGATATGGTTTATCGTTACCAATCACAGTTGGATGTGCCGCCTTCATGTGATAATATAATCCATTAGCGTTCGTAAAAGTAAGTACACATCCTGATACCCCACAACCGTAAGCTTTAACAGTTATCTCGACTTCAGTTCCTTGAGAAGGCTGCTGTTGAGAATTTTCTTGATCTGTCGGAAGGTCTAAATTCATTTGATTATTCGAAGAACTTGGTGATGATAATAAAGATGCGATGCTACGACCATTTGAAGATGTTGATGGTAAGTTTGAAATGGTATCAGATGTTATTTCATTTTCAATGCTTGGAGCAATTGATGATGAAATTGATGACGTAGGATTGGTTGTTAAATTTGACGATAAATTCGACAACATATTCGAATGCATGTCGGTTGTGGGAACATTAAGATTAGAATTGGATGGATAATTGGGAATATAAAATTTCGGACTCAAATTGGCCTGTATGTTTGTAGCCATATGGGAATGTAAATCCGAATCCGACTGTAGATTTGCAGATAAATTTGAAGATGGATTGTTGTCCAATAAATGTGGTTGCAAATGTTGTTGCTGTTGCAAGTTCGAATGAACGTGTTGCTGTTGCATATTTACGTTCTGACGTGACATGATCGGAGACGAGCGCGAATGTAAATGCGGTTGTGTATTTGAATGTTGTACGTTCGTTTGCACGTTATTCGTTGATAAATTGAAATGTGTATTCGATTGTAAACTTTGTAGATTATGTTGCATATTTTGTTGCATGGTTGAATGCATATTTTGAGGAGTTGAATGTAATGACGTCGATAAAGAAGAGGTTGAAATATGAGGTGAAGAAGAACTTGGTGTAGTTATATCATTAGGAGTTATGATATTAATAACCATATCCATTGTATGATCTTTGTTTGCTTTCTTGAGCCTTTGAATTTTTCTCCACCTATTTCGACAATGTAATCCTGGACGTCCTGGAAAGAATTGGGCAATTTGTTGCCATTGACTTCCAAATTCATCGTATTTTGAAATTAATAAATTATCTTCGGTAGATGTCCATTCCGTATGATCAATGTCAGGATCTAAGCATTCTTTCCATCTTTTAGCGCATTGATCATCGGTACGACCTGGAATAAATTCAGCAACTTTACACCAGACTCTATTATGTTTTTCAACAGCCTTTCTTAAAAGTTCATCCTCCTCTTCAGTCCATGGACCTTTACGTAGATTTGGATCAAGTGAATGAAACCAACGTTTTCTGCACATCTTATTTGTTCTACCAGGGACGCAGGCAGCAATTTTCGTCCACCTTTCTGACCTATCACCATAAAGTTGAACGGCAAGACGAAGTAAATTATCTTCATCTGCAGTCCATGCTGTTTTATCGGTTTTAATTTTATATTTTGGTCTAGAAGGACGAGGTCTAGATTGAGGAGTTGGTGGTAAGGGTAGTGGACCCGCAGGTGCAATTCTTGGAAGTATAGGAGGTAATGTATTTTGCAGTGCACCGTTGGTGGAGTTAGTATTGTTGCTTCGATTCTGACTTACGTCTTGTTGATATGCATTATTGATATAGTTTGGAGGCGGCAATGCGGGTCGTAAGATAGAGGAATAGGATTCTTGTTGTTGAGAACTATTGTTATACTATATATACACACATATATATATAAATATAAAAAAGAGAATATTGAAAGATTCTTTAAATACTTTTTAATGTTTATAATTCTTAATATTATGATATTTTTAAACTTTTTTTTTTTTTGTTAGGTAAAAAAAAAAATAAAAAAAAAAAAATAAGGGAAGCTCACCATGAAGTTTAAAAAAAAAAAAATTTTTTTTTATTCTTTGGTCTTCTACAAAAAAAGCACGCAGTGAGCCTTCCAGTGAACTTAATAAACTCGAGAAAAAAGTTAAAAATAAAAAAAAAAATAAAATAAAAAAATAAAAAATTGATTTTTTTTTTTTAATTTATTTTTGAGAAAAATTTTCTTATAGTACGTCCCAATACTTTTTGTATGATGGTATTATAACACAAACTCGTCATAAATAACCAAAGGACTCAGGATTGTCTCAGGACTGGATCACAAGGGTTTAGTTTAGATAAGTTTAGATCTATCCTTCTTTTAGTATGATTGTGTTTAAAAATCACGTGAACTTATTAATTTCCAAGCCCGTTTACCAAAATTTCACGGACCCGTTTCTTGAATTTCTTTGAATTCCTATTTATATCCAGATCTGAAACATTTTCTATGATGTTATGTATCACAAGAATCTGAACCTTAAATTCAAATTTCTTTTCTACTTGGCCGGTAAAATGGCGCATTGCATAAAGGAAAACTTTTACAAATTAAAAATTCTCGTTCAGAATTAAAGGATAAAGATGTAAAACTCTCTCTTTTAGACCAATTTTTTTTTTTAATTTGCCTTTTGGTATGTTACACACGCAACAGTTCAAATAATATTACCGCGTTTTCTAATAAAACTATGCAAATTAAGAAATGCATAAAAATGGCTTTGACAAAGCGCGTCAGCTTACATCCTTGGCCAAATCATCAATTAGTTGACCAAAAAAGGTCTTGATGAATATCTTTCAATCTTTTTTTTTGCTTAAAAAAAAGTGATGAGAGTGAACTTAGTATAGTATCAACCTTTTTTCTTAAAAATATATAAATATTGTGGCTTAATTCGGAATATCAGCAAAACCATTATCAGCATTATTGGATTTTTAGCATTTATATTTAACCATATTTATTTTTGTATTATTGTATTATTATTTTATAATTTATAATGAAATTTATAATGATATGTATATGGTGCGCGCAGTTTTGGAATCACGTGAAAATCAATTTATTGGTTATATTTAGATCACATTTTCTGATTTTTATTTTTCTTATTATAAATTATTTATTTTCTTTTAAAAAAATTTTTTTTGAATTAATATTAAATCTGACTAAAAAAATCATATAAAATTTAAAATTTTATTTTTTATAGTTTCATATCTTTCTACTGTAAAGCATAGCATTTATTTTTATATTTAATATTTTTATATTGTATTTATCAATTTAATTAATACAAATATAGTTGCAGTAAATTTGTTTTATATAAATAAATATTTTTATATTTACATTATAAACTAACTTATTTGTGAATTTCAAGTATTTATTTAGTAAAAAAATTAATTAAATAGTTAAATTTATTTAATTTTTAAATTTCTAAATTTAGATTTACTTAAGTAATTTTAAGAAATTCAAATTTTTATAAAATATATGATTTTTTAATATTATAAATTCTAATAAAAAAATTTATTTGTAATATAAAATAATTTAACTTGAATATAAAAAATATTATTCTTATAATAATAAATATATCATGTTATTATATTCTAAAATATTTTAATAAATTAAATTCATAATAGAAATTTAGGTAAAAAATAATTTTATATTTCTAATTTAAATAATTTCTATAATTAAATTAGAAATTTTACATATTTTAGATAAAATTAATATTATATTAATTTTTAATTAATTATT